AGTAAGTACCACTGAATTTAGTGGCAGAGGGGGTTCTCTCTTTGAGTAACATAAGACGCCACCACGTCCCTTTACTAGATGAACACAATTATTTTAAAAATCTTCCTTTAGTAAGAGCAACTTGATAAAGGATCTTCCCTCTTTTGATGAACTATACTGGAAGATCCTGGAAGGAGTAAGTACCACTGAATTCAGGGGGTTCTGTCTTTGAGTAACATAAGTTGGCAAGCATATCAGACAAACAAAAAATGTTGTGGCACCATAAAAACATATATTTTAATGTGAGCTTTCAAAGATCAACTCTACTTCTTCATTTTTAAGAGTGAGACTGCATGACTGCTACTGTATATTCATACATGACAGCCATACAGTCTCACTCCTATGTATGAGGAAGTGGATTTAAGCTCACATTAAAATACAGCAGGTAGACTTTAAGGTGGCACAATGGTTTTGTCCTTTAAAAAAAAAACTTTTGTTTTTCTGTCTCATATGCTTGCCAAGACTAACATAGCTACTTCTTCAAAAACTGTATGATTGTAAGGTGAATACAATCTAAGAGACAACATATCCTCAAACAGTATTCAATGGTAACTCCTACCACATTCCACAAGATTTGCAAATGCAAGGATCTCCCATGTTCCTCAAACAGAAGACGAAAAGCTGGCCTTCCATTATTTACTAAGCATTTAGCATGCCCATCTTCGCTTCCATTTGGTTCATGCTATTACTATATTTTTATCTGGGCCAATTCACAGACAAAAATAGTATGCTACCCCTACAGAAGGGATGGATTCATAAAGAATATTGACTTAGCTGTATGATAGATTCCCTCCAATGCTTTTTTTCCAGTCTGCCTCTTCAATAGAAAGCACTTCCAGACTTGATTAATTTTGAGCAGTATCTAAAACCAGGAGGTAGGAGAAACAATTCCTGCAAGGATTCATGGATTACTGTTGTGATGTATAAGTCAGTGGGCTAATTCAAGTTGATTCTGGCTTATCCTGAGTGAACAACCTTCTGGTGCATGCTGCTTCATCACTCTTGCTTGCTTGATTTCTGAACAAAACAGGAAGTCTCTGTCCATGGTTTGTTAAGGCTTACATCTGAACTAAGTTAGCAAAATTAAGAGAAAGGAAGTGGGGGTGGGGGAGGGGAAAAAAGCAAAGTATTGTGGCTTTTTAAATATGAACAGATTTATTTCACTGTGAGCTTTAATGGATCAAACCCCACTTCTCTAAAACACATGGAGTGCATATACGGGTCCTCTCTATTTATATACTGTATATATATGCCCATGATCAAATAGGTATAAATACAGAGGATGTCTATTTGCATTCCTTGGGTGTGACAAAATGGATTTTGATCTACGAACAAAATAAATGTTACTCTTCAATGTGCCACAATATTTTGCCGTTTTCTCCACTTTGCTCTACTTTAATTTTGTCAACATATTGAGACAGACTAACATAGCTATTTTGGAAACATCTAAACCACTATTCTTGGCTTGTTCATTCCCTAATTGGTCATCTGATAAGGTTATGGGAAACCCTAGTTTATAATTCTGGCTTATTAGGAGAACATAAAGGCAGGGACTTCAGTATAATTGTCAAATGGCCCTTCCACTGTGCAGAAAATAGCAATCCTGTGGTAAGAATGGATTAGAAACCTGTCTCCATTTGTAAAGCACAGCTTATTCCAGAAGACCGCCAAAGAATTGATGCTTTTGAAATTGTGGTGCTGGAGGTGACTCTTGAGAGTCCCCTGGACTGCAAAGAGAACAAACCCAACCATTTTGAAGGAAATCAACCCGGAGTGCTCACTGGAAGGACAGATCCTGAAGCTGAGGCTCTAATACTTCGGCCATCTCATGAGAAGAGAAACCTCCCTGGAAAAGACCCTGATGTTGGGAAAGTGTGAAGGCAAGAAGAGAAGGGGATGACAGGGGATGAGATGGTTGGACAGTGTCATCGAAGCTACCAACATGAATTTGACCGAACTCCGGGAGGCAGTGGAAGACAGGAGGGCCTGGCGTGCTCTGGTCCATGGGGTCACAAAGAGTTGGACACGACTTAACAACTAAACAGCACAATCATTTTTCTTCTTCCATTGAGTTCAGCAGGATTACTCTCATCATCAGAACAGAAATAGACAGGGGTTTGTCAACGCAATGTGAAACTGTGGAATTCACTGCCACAAGATACAGTGAATGCTGCTCAATCTGGATAGCTTTAGAAGATGATTAGATAAATTCATGGTTAATGTGGCCATCAGTGGCTACTAGCCAAGATGTCCACATATCCTCTTTACTATCTGAGGCAATAAGCCTATGTGCAACACTAGCCATAGTATGTGAGATGATAATGCAATTTCATTCGTGTTCCAATTGCAAAGTTTCCTTTAGGCAACCAGCTGGGCATGATGTGAACAGAATGTCAGACTAGAAAGGCCCTTGATTGTGTTGTTGTTTGATATAATCCAGCATGTTTTTTCTTCTCTCTTTAAAGTGAGTAGGCTAATAAAGAACTTCCTCTGAAGCAGTCCTATTGATTTCAACATGACTTCTGCAATTTTCATTTTGTGAGCTTCCCAGGGCATTGTGTATCAATAGGAAAGATAGATTTGTAATTGAAATAATAGAGGAAAAACACACAAAAGCACATCAATGCAATTCAAAATGTTTTCCAATAATTTAAGACAGAATACACATGTTGAAAATGGTCAGTTAGAGCACTGTTGCTCAACAGGACTTCCTTTATGGAAAATGTTGATTTAAAAATAAAACACAAGCACTTTTTGTGCTGCTTTTAATTAGGCATTTGCTGAAAATAAACACTAAGCATGACATAAATTTACAATAAACAATGAAAACAATAAAAAGATGTCATTTGCTATTGATTTTTTTTACCACAGGAAACATTTGCTCTGTTAAGTGTGGAGCTATAAACCTCTCTCCATGGATTGGAACTGCTTAGAGGTGCATCTTGTGAGCAACTTGTATGAATTCACTTTCCACATTGTTTTCATCATCCTGAAACTGCCTCCTGCTCCCACCAAAGAGAAGAATACAATCTCTTCTTTCCTGCACTTGTAAAATTTGGAATCATGCTATCAGTCCACATGAGAGAACTGTAAAAAAAATATTGCGGTGTGAAAGGCTGAAATGAGATTCAGTCCACCATCCCCAATTCCAGGAACTTTCATTCCATCCCCTCTTCTCTCAAACCAGTTCCCCCAACAGATGGCAATGCTTAAGTCTTCATTAAAATGCTTGTGTCCTTCCCCCATCAACTGGTTCTTTAACAATCTTTTCTTTCAGTAAAACTTGGAGATAGCCTTCAGCTCAATACTGTCCCTCTTTCCTGTACAAATGGTGCTGGGATAGTGAGTTTGCTATTAACATAAAGGACTGTTAGCATCTCACTTGGATTACTATGTAAATTACAACCAGGATACTTTCAAATACCATTGCTTAACCCTTATCTCTGATTCCTATCTAAAAGGTCCCAATCCCATTACTCCTGGCGGAGAAGAAAACTGCTACAAAGGGCTTGTTGGTCTGAATCAATACTGCTGCCTCCTCCTTGGGGGCATAACTAACTATAGGGGGCCTGCCCCAGCCAATGGACCTTCTTCTAAATCCACTTCACTGAAACTAATCCCTGACTTTCATACACATTCAAGGTTGACGTTGTATAAGCCTCCAGATTTATTTATTTATTGAGTTTATATGCCACCCTATTCTGGGCGGCTCACAAACACGTAATAAAAAACAATTAATATAAAATTAGCACACTACAGATTGAGCTTATATGCCACCCATTTAGACAATAGTCTATTCTGGGCGGCTCACAAACACGTAATGAAAAACAATTGATATAAAATTAACACACTACAATCTCTTGACACAAAGATTACTTTATTTAAAGAATAGTGCATTCTTATTCCTCAATGATCATGGGAGGAAGCAGTACCACTGTACAGCGACCTCGGAAACGCGACGTTTTGGGACTAGATCTCCTTATAGGTCACGCTGGCTGGGGATTCTTCCCAAAAAAAAAGAGGAACGCTTCTGGTTGTGTGCGAGCCGCTGAAGAAGTACCTCGACAGAGCGGTCCTCCCAGCGAGGCACCCAACCCCACTCGTGGCCTGTTCGCTCGACGTCGTCGTCCTGCGGGACACGCCTTCCTCCCCGCCCGCCGGCCGCTTTCTGACGGCACGTAAACAAGCGAGCTACTCGCCTCACCGACCCCGGGCCAGCGGTCGCTCCCGGCGGGAAGCCCGAGGGCAGGGATAAGGCGAGCGCTCTCCGCCGAGCCCCCTTCCGAGTCCGGAGGGTGCACGGAAGGCAGGCGGCTGCTAACTCGGTGCCGATAACGACACCCGCGTCCCCACGACGCACACCGGCGTCCTGCAAACCCCTGCTTCGGTAGCCAGCTTCCCAAGTTAGTTCCACGGGGTACCAACTCCCAGACGCTGGCTCGTTGGGGCACTTGCCTCCCGGAAGTAACTTTTCCAAAGCCTGGTCCACCCAAGTGGACCCAAAGGCATGCGCGCCACCGTCGGTTGCCGAGATTCCAAACACGCGTGCACACCCGATCGCAACCTGAATCGCTACACTTCCGATATACCTTCCCCCACCCACACCCACACCCGTCCCAGGCAACATCGGCCCAGGCACATGCACGCCCCGCGCGCCCGCGCCCAGTTTTCCTTGACCTCATTGCGCCCAACAGCGCTCCAGAATCCCCAAGCAAAGCGTCGGAAGACACCGCAGACGG